CCCCCTCCAATACAATAATTGTATAAATGTTTGCTCTTTTATTGATGTCCCAAAGATCTTGTATGTTCTCTTCATCCTTTCTTATTTTTTCCTATTGCTGTTTGGCAGATTCATCTTCAAACTCCAATACTTTCCTCTCTTTGATCTTGTCTGTTTCAACTAAAGTTGAGGTTGAGTTCTTTTTTTTTAATTTCCATATCTTTATGAAAGTATTCACTCATATTTTTGTATTGTCTTTCTCAATTCATTCAACTGTTTATTTGCATTTTCTTGGATTTCAATGAGCTTTCTTAAAATCATCATTTTGAATTATTTGTCCAGCATTTCAAGCAACTTGATGTCTTTGGAATTTCTTATTATGGAGTTACAAACCTTAGGAGTGGCACATTATTTTGTTTTTTCATATTTCTTGTGTTTCTATGTTGGAATTTCTGCATCTATGGGGATGGATATCTCTTCTGCTTTTTTTGTGGTGGCCTTCACAATATGTGGCTTCTTTTGACAGCGTGACTTGAAGATTAGTTTATTTCTAACTGGACTCCATAGTATACTCTCTAGTTTCTTTGATTACAATTCATAAACTTGGACACAGAGCATTTTGTATTGGAGTAAGAAATGTTAACTATCTCTACAAAGCTTATAAGAGTAGTGACACTCTGGTACTTCAGGAAGATGTGCTGTAGGCAACAGATTCTGTGGAATGCACCCTCTCTGGTTACTCCTATTATGAGAGTAGGACCCCCCATCAGAAGTTGGGGACTTCCACAGGCACTGTTGATAGTGGCCTTATTCTTTGACAACAATTCCAATGCTGGTTGCTCCAATTGTGTTCAAAGTCCTGAAGCTCTTGTTCTCTAATTGGAGATTGCCACAGATCCAGGGGCTTCACAAGGAGAGAGAGACATGAGAATCACAGCTCTCCCTCTATGGATTCACCTTCAGTCTTATCGGCCCTATGCAATCTGACAAGGCATGGTTGTAATCAGTGTTGAGGGCTTCCCTTGATGTAATATCATCAACTGTTGTATTCTTCCAATCTGCCAATACTGTGAGAATGTCTGCCCAAGAGCTGGATCTCAGCCTCTCCTACCTTTCCCCACCTGGAAACAGGTTGACAAATTGGAACTTAGGTCTCCCTTTTCTTTAAATAGAATTGTCCACCAGGCTTCTGATGAAACTGGGTTGTGGCTGGAGGTGAGTTTAATTCCTCCTAGCAGAAGTATGGCAGGGGTTGGGGGCGATGAAGGGTTAAAACTGCAGCTTGTTGTAATTCCTCTCAGTTCTTGTCAAATAAATTGGGAAGTTGGGATGGTATGTAGGCTGCATCCCATGTTTCTCAACAAACAGGTTAAGGCAGAATATTGACCACACCTAGGGTATATTCACTCTAGAGGCTGTTATTTTCTGTTTGTTTGGTTTTTGTTTTGTTTCTGCAGTGCTAGTAATAGAACCTAAGGTCTCATGCACTCTAGGCAAGCACACTATGACTGAGCCACATTCCCAGCCACTCCATAGGGTTTTAATCTGCACACCCTGGGGTATGGCAAATGTCAGAGCTACAGTAAGCCCTTTTTATCCACAGGGTTTTAGTGGAATGTGGACTGTGCCAGGCCTATATCTGCTCCAGAGGGTTTTAGTCTTGTAACTGGGGGTGTTGTGAATGTCAAAGCCCTGCAAATCCCCAGAATGCCTCCAAGGGTAGAGGAAGCATTGAGTCACCAAATTCTGTGCTGGAGAGGAAAATCCAGGAACCAGGCAATCAACTAGCTTTGATCTCGGCACCCTCCAACCTGGCCCCATGCAAAACCACAAACAACTGTGTCACTCCACTTCTCAGAGGCCAGGATAACTGAACCGCTATGCCCTCCACTCCCCTCCACATTGCAGCCTGAGTTCCCCACATTATAAATCTCTCAGCAGGTTTGTGTCAGAGACGTTCCCCCCACAACACCATTGTCTCCTGTGGCTGCCGCTGGCCCAAAGCAGAGTGATTATGCTGAGTTTTCTGCCCCCCAGAGTTTGGTCTCTGACAATAAGACCCTTCTCAAGACGGCTCCAGGCTATAGCACTCAGAGTTTGCTGAAAGACACCATGAATTTCTTCTCTAAAGCTGGCTTGCTGTGTAGACACTGGGTCACCTATTTACTCCATTTGTCTGCAGGGTGCAGCCCTGTGCACTGCACTGTTTTTCTTTCACCTTAGTCCCTTAGAAGGGAAAGTCCCTGTCCCCCGACAGAGATGCCAGATGCTGGGGTATTCTATTTCTTTTGCTTGTTTCTCCCTTGTCTTTGGACTTCACCAAGTTCCATTTTCTGTTCTGTCAATCTCTGGTGCTCACCCACAATCACCTCTACAAGGAGTTACACACTTGTCATATGGTTTCCATCCACAGGCTGAGCAAACTAGTGTTAGGTATCTCTATTCTGCCATCTAGAGCCTTATTCTGTAGGTTTGTTTTGTTTGTTTTTGTTTGCCAAAGCCACTGCAAGATAGCAAGCAGTTGACACTCGATCCTCCCTCATCTGTCACAGGTCTATTCCTATTTCCTGCAAGGAAACAGATGCTCCCCAGCACCTCCAGAAAGGAACAGAGTCCTACCAAACCATAGGGATGACATATTCTCTCTGAAACAGACCCTCTTCTCCTGTTTGCCTTCTTCTCCACTTAGCTGACTTCTTCTCCCCTCTTGAGACTCAGCATAAACTTTCTCTCTGAAAACTCTTAGTTTTATCTATGTAGGTAATAAATTTCAAAAATGAGGAGGACCATGTTATCTTCTTTTCTAATAAGTTTTAATAATAGAATTAAGTAATCCTCATTTGATGGAGAATATAAAGGAAGAACAATAAAATTGCTTTCTTGTCACTGCTTTTAAAAAGGAACATAAGCACTCACTAGGATCCATCCATGAACTCTACCTCAGTCCTCTCCTTCTCTGGATACACACACACACACACACACACACAGAGAGAGAGAGAGAGAGAGAGAGAGAGAGAGAGAGAGAGAGAGAACACCAACAGAGCCTGGCAGAGTTGAATTCCAGTTTGTTCAGAGTCAGACAAATAAGCAATATGCTCATCTCTGACTAAGATATATTCACTCTAAAGGGTGTTATTTTCAAGATGTAGAGGGTCAAAGCTGAAACCAGAAGACTTCAAGGGAAATTTCAAAGGTACCAAAAAGCTTTTAAACATAAAGTTTAAAGCCAGAACCGAGGTTTAAGAAGTAAATAACAGGATACATAGGTCATGTTAAATTTTGTCCACAAAGACACTTTTTTAACTAAATGACAGAATCTCATTCCTCACCCCTTGAGTGTGGGCTGTAATGAGTCACCCCTCTAATGAACAGAATATGGCCAATAGGGCTAGCATATGATCAAGTCAAGAAAGATATTACAGATTATTTCTCCTTTTCCTTCTTCTTTTTCTCCTGCCACCCCCATATTGCTTGCTATGGAAGAAAGCAGGGGCTCAAGTAGCATATGGAGAAGCCCATGTGGTGAGGAGCTGAGGCCTCCCCCAATATCCGCTTCAGGAAGCCATCTTGGAAGCAGATTCCCAAACCGTCAGATACTACAGATAGCCAACATCTTGACCACCACTTCATGAGCCAAAACCATTCAGCTAAGCTGCTCTCAAATTCCTAATCATAGAAATTATGAGATAATGCATATAATGTTATTTTAAGTCACTAAAAGATACGATTCCTAAAGCAGAGGTTATAAGTTGGAAGTCAAGATCCTGATTCAGTATGCAAATTTATTCTTTAGATCACTACGGTATTTTTTTTTCTTAGCCAAAATTTTTAAATCCTTAAATTTAATCTAGAGTGCCAGTCTCTCAAAATTTGGCAACACAAAGCCTAGCATGCATTCTGAAAACCATCAATGAGAGCTGAGAACCAGTTTTCAGCTATACAGGGGGACATGCTTCCCCCAGTTCACCTCAGTCCCCACTGACCCCCACCTATTTCCATGTGGACGCCAAGAGTTATTACCATTTAGATGTGTTCACTGTTGTTTCTCTTTTAAGACAGAAATATTCATAGTTCCTGTATCTTCATCAGCAGCAGGAAACAGAAGATATGAAAGTATTGTGTATTTTAAGAACTCTAGGAGAAAATTTATTTCTTGGGGGGAAATAAAGAATATCTATGCTATTGATGTGTATCTGCACCAAATACATACAATCTAAGATTCCCTTTTACTTCCTCTGGTAGCTTTGCTCATCTAGGCTATCTGGTCTCTGTAGGTAAAGGAGTTGGCTAATCTCTCCCCTCCATGCCCCCTACCTGAGCTCTTTGAAATAGGGTTAAGGACAATATATGAACTTTCTACTCTAGCTCTTCAACAGCTTAAATATTTCAGCCAACATCAACCCTTTCTTCCTATATTGCTTGTATTGAGAATAACCTTGCTGATATTATAGCATCTATTAAATCATTTTCTAGTTTTGTACTTAGAATTGTTGAGCTTGAGTTTCTTACTGCTGATTCAAATCATGTCTGATCATAGCCATATCAACTAGTCAGAGATAATACCAGATACAATTCCTACTTACCATAAATGTATACCTTTTGCTACTACTCATATTTCCATGGGATTAAACAAAGTATAGCACATAGGCCAAATCTGGCCCACTACCAGCTTTTGTAAATAAAGTTTTATTGGAACACAGCCACACTTATTCATCTACGTATTAACTGTGGTACTTTTGTACCACAGTGACTCAGCTGAGTAATGGTGAGAGAGACTAAATGACTTGCAAACCTAAAATATTTTCTCTCTAGCTCTTTGTATATAGACAACTGTTGAACAAAAATATTTTAGTGGTCAATAAACTAAGAATTCACTGTTCTTTCAAAGAACATAAGTTAGGAAGGATAAAACCATGCTCCATCCAGGAAAAATCTGCATATAACTCATAGTCAATGACTCTGAAGCTTCCTTCATCTTACAAGTGGACAGAGACAGATTTTTAAGTTGAAAATTAACTCACCGTGGCTAGTTTCTGAACGTCTTCATCTGATGCTCCCAAAGATGCCAGACCTATCTCTTGTGAAAATTGAGCAAACTTAGGATCCGCAAGTAGTGGGACATGTCCCAAGAGTTCATGGCATGTGTCTCTGAGAATAAAAAACATTACAAAAACATGTTTAAACCACCACTGATAGAAGAATAAAATCTGTAATATAATCTTGTTACTACAATTAATTACCACTAATCATACTTTAATACCTCTGAAATCCAGTAATATATTACTCTTAATGACATCTGAAGTTATATGATATACAATACTTTAAATAAGAGCCACCATTATTTTCAATGCTAAGCACATGATTTTTTGTTGTATACATTACATCTTTTAATCCTCAAAACAACCTTAGAAAATTAAAGTAACTAATTAGTGCAAGATCCTAGTGATCAGGATAGGCAAACTACAGCAACAGTCCAAATCTGGCACAGTGTCTATTTATATAGTTTTATTAGAACATGGACACACCCATTTGTATATACATACATTGTCTGTGGCTACTTTTGACTACAACTGCAGAGGTGAGTACTTGTAACTGAAATCACATAGCCTGCCAATCATAAAATAACTACTCACTGACCCTTTACAAAAATTTTGCTGATTCCTATTATAGAGAGTGTTAAAATAAATTAAATTTAAGCCTGAGAATACCCCCCATGTTTGAGTTCCCCTGTAATGAATGAACTTAGTACATAAACTAACAGAAAGTCTAGCTGGGAGGGTCACTCTTGTAACAAAAAGCTGAGTTTTAGTCAACCCCAACATTTCCACTTCCTGCCCACAGATGTCTGACTACCTTGCAGCCCTAGAATTCTTTGACCTACTGTGGTTCTAGAGTTCGCCCAATTCTGAAATCATGAATAAAAATCAATTAGGATTTTTAAACTAGTGATGGGGATGCAGCTCAGTGGTAGGGTGCTTGCCTAGAATGACTAAGACCCAAGGTTCACTCTCCATCTCTGCAAAAAGAAAAAAAAATAAGCTAAACTTATTGTGACTTTCTCTTTTAATTAGGAAGAAAGCCAAAATTGTAATTCAGCTTGTCGTGATTTTTAAGTTCATGCTCTTAATCCTTAAATTTGTGCGCATCCCTGTTATAGTTTGCAAGGCACTGGAAAACCACAGAGGGTCATGTTATCATTATCAAAGTGGCATTTCCTTAGGGAATTTGTCTCACTATAATATAAGCAACTGCCTTCAGAGAGCAGCTTGGGAGAATCTCCCAGTTCTCTAACTGATAACTGAACTAGGTAATAATAATAAATAAACACATCTTTCAGTTTCATCAGCTTCCATGTGGTATCGGATACGTGGGCAAAGGAGAGATATGTGTCACAGCAAAATAAGGCTGTTGCCTACCTGAGTCATTACCACAAAGAAGGAACTGTTCCCTCATCCCAAGCTGAAGTGGAATGAATTTTATTGTCACTCTGGCACGGATGGAAATAGTGCAACATTTCACTTTCTTGACAAAAAAAAAAACTAATTAGCCAGGAAGTAATTGAAAGAGGTTTTTGTTTTTTGTTTTTTTTTTTTTAATTTTATGTGTGTTCCTCTGAAGTGTATTACTTTAAAAGGTGCTACAGGACTAATGCCAGGTGCCACCACCATTATGACATAGATAAAGTCAGCTGGATGATCGTATGGTTGAAGCAAGTAAATGGTGGCAAATGGCATGAGATTGATGGTCACATAAAACAGATGACATTACTCAGAAAATCATGTTCCCACAACTCAAACCACATCCCCAACATTGGCCAGACAGTTGGTAAACACATCAGTTTAAAGGGCAGCCAAGTGAGAATATGTGGACAGGACTTTGGAAGAAACTAGATTCATCCTCTGACAACTGTATGCCAATAGCCATCCTATTTGCACAGAATCTGATTTTATAGTAAAGAATACACGGAGGTTATTCTCCAAGCACATTGCTTATAGCGAAGAATCAGATTTACTGGATTTTAGAGCAGAAAGGAATATATAAATGTTATCCCAGACTCTATTTTATCTGATGAAATAAGAAAAAAGAGAAGGAAAAAAAGAAGAATATACTGAGTGGTTATTTACTGGATTCAGTACTAAATATTTTTACAACACATTATAAACTTAATCCTCACTTACAAGGAAGCTTTATTATACCCACTTAGCCAATGGGGAACATAAACTTGAGTAAATTTAAGAATTTGGGGATGGAGGGAAGTACCAGGGATTGAACTCAGGGGCACTAAACCACTGAGCCACATCACCAGCCCTATTTCGTATTTTTATTTAGAGACAGGATCTCGACGAGTTGCTTAGCGCCTCACTTTTGCTGAGGCTGGATTTGAACATGAGATCCTCCTGCCTCAGCCTCCCAAGCCACTGAGATTACAGGCATATGCCACCATGCCTGGCAAATTTAAGAATCTTTACCAAGGTCATACTTTTTGTAAGAGACACAGAAAATATTTATAATTAAAATTTTTCTGACTCCAAAGCTATGCTCTTTCTGCTCTCGTTTTAATTTGCAGATATGGCGTGAGTGACAAAGGGGCATGGCTCAGGCTGTAGGGAGAGTTCAATCAAGTTGGATAGCACAATAGAACTGTAATCAGTATGTCCTAAATTTCTCCCTGCCACTTATAGTTCTCAACCCTCCAAATCACTTGAGGAGCCAAATGGCTAAGCCCCACCTAAGACCAGTTCAATCAGGTTCTCTGAGATAGACTAGACATGAGTGTCTCTCTCTCTCTCTCTCTCTCTCTCTCTCTCTCTCTCTCTCTCTCTCTCTCTCTCTCTCTCTCTTTAAGCTCCCCAAGTGATAAGAAGACATAGCCAGCTGGGCAGGATGGTGCCACCTATAATCCCTGAGGCTCAGGAGGCTGAGGCAGGAGGAACTCTAGTTCAAAGCCAGCTTCAGCAAAAGCGAGGCACTAAACAACTCAGTAAGACCTGACTCTAAATAAAATACAAAATAGGCCTGGGATGTGGCTCAGTGGTCAAGTGCCCCTGAGTTCAATCCCTGGTACCTTAAAAAAAAAAAAAAAGGAAAAGAAAATATAGCCAGGGATGGGACCCTTCTCATAACTGACACTGGGAACTATCCTAGCAGGTTTGAAACAACTAGTACTTAAAATTAAAGCTGAATGTGATTATGTAATTTTGAGCTGCCTAAGTTTAGTTCCACTAAAATCACATCATGATAGTGGAGAATAAGGAAGGTGGTGACTGAAAGGTGAATAGGAAACTAATTACTCTTCCACACACATTTGATTTAGTTACATGTCTAACTCCTGTGCTGGAAATAGACCCTATAAATTAACTTTTGCGATCAATTTTTTTGAGAGGCCATACAGCCTGCACCAATGTTGGAATTTGGATGAAATGGCCCACCATAAAAAATCTGACTACCTGCATTTTAACAAATGATGTAAATACTAAAGCATCCTGCTGATCCCAGAAGAAGATATGGCAACAATAATTCCAAGTTAGATCAGATATCAAACCCCAGGAAAATTCTGAAAACAGTATTAAGTCATTGTGTGAATAAAAAAGGTGATCAAAAACTAAAATAACAATGATAGTGAATGCTTACTATGGGCCAGACCCTGCTAAAGTGCTTAATAATGTAAGATGAGAATAGGAGAGGTCATGGCTACAGCAGCAGGGGACCCTCAGTGCCATAGTAGACTTACTTTTTGAGCTTGTCAAATACTTCAAAAAGGCTGATGCAGAAGACAGTCCCCCATCTACCTATGCACTGATGGAGCCCTTATTGGTAAAAGCAAAGAAAAAAAGTTGGCAGTTACACAGGTAAAATGAAATTACTAGAGGTCCAAAGACATTAAGGAGTCAATTCTCCATGGTAGAAAAGGAGTTATCACCTGAATTTTATATTAAGGTGTCATTATCAGAAACCTGTGACTCACTAGCCAACTTAGGAACCTTTAATAATATTACAATGACAAAGTAATCCAACTATACACAGGATAAAAGAAATTATAGATTTGGAAGAAAAAAATCATACAATATAACAGAATAAGTTATATTGTTTCACTAAAAATGAAAGCCTGAAGCAAGATGTCTAACAGAATTATTAATGGAATATTAGGGATGCCCTTTGCTCTGTTGTAAGCAGAAATGATTGTGCTGTATTTCACACATCTGTTTCTTCTCCATGCGGAGACCCTAGGAAAGAACTGTCCCCCTGATCCTGAACAAAGTATGGATTGAGTGTGTACGATAACCTCACTTCTCATGGGGCCAAGGCTTTAAGTTCCTATATTTCAAGACCAGGAACAAGGTTCTTATCTTTTCTTAGTCTGGTAGAACATGATCTGAAATAAACACCATATTATTCTCTATTGCAATGTCTTTGGCTAAGGCATTCGGAGACAGAGGATACTGAAATGCCTGGAAACACTTTAACCAATGAACAAAGAAACAAATGTTTAAGAAAACAATTTATTAACTTTGCAAACTTACATTTTCTTTAGTTTCTTTGAGACAGAAGCACTTAGAATCGGAGTTGGCCACCACTTTGGGGGAGCTAAGAGGTTCCAGGCTATAGGGGAGTCTGAGGGAGACCACACAACCTTCCCTCCAACCATGGCACTAATTAAGGTCTGTTGGGCTGACAATATGCCATTTCACCCTATTTTACAATGCAACCACATACTGCAGGTAAAGTAGTTTAAGATTCCTGCATTGGTTGTATCAACCATAGCTGGACCCCTGACTATCTAATTAGGAACAGATTTCCAATGTTAGTCTACAGCTATTGCCTTATCTCACCAAATCTCTTTTTAAAAGATTCAATTATTTGGTCATAATTGCACCTGTCAGCACATGCTGCCTCCAATCTGTGTGATGGCAAACTTTTCTCTGTTTAACTCCCATTCCTTTCATGCATTTCACCTGAATAATGCTTTTCAGAGTCCTTTTCACAAAAGAGCTCTCTGTTCACTGGAAACGTAGGACCTTTCAAAACTGTTAACACTGTAAAACATCGTGTCTCTTTAAAAAAAAAAAATAGCTAGAGCTGATATCAGACACTAGACTTTTGCTGCTCTAAATTGGAATCTTCTCTGATAAGCCCTGTTAGGAGGATTC